TTTTCTTCGGAAGAGGACGACGCCATGTCTTTCGAAGACTTTATCGACCTTGCGTCAGTTTTCAGTGAAGAAGCAGACGAAAAGTTGAAAGCTGCCTACGTTTTCCAAATGTTTGGTGAGTCTGCTTGTGATGTAGAAAGTCAATTTTCACATTCCGAATATTCATCGCATTTTCCCCTTATTACTTTTTTTTTTACTGGTCTTCTTATTATTCTGCATTTCCAAAATAATAACTAATTAAATTGCATATGTGAAGCTTTTGGCCATTTGATCTTCCTTATGCTGTATACGCTGGGTTCAAATAAGTTTATATTAATGCTTATATTTTCGAAAACTCGGTTTCCGAAAAATGTGGAAGCAGAAGGAAATTTTATTCTGAACGGCACAATCATATGGATTATGGACAAAGTGCTGAAAACATTTTGCAGTGTGATTAATATACTTGGAACAAATTTCAGGGAAAACACAAGCAGATTTGGAAAACAGTGAATTTCATAAAATGGGGTGGCAAATAGGTGGTAAAAAGTGCTGATGGAATGAGAAAAGCCTGTCACATTTATTTTTATTCATAACGATTGTACGTTTTCCCCATTGCTCGTTTTAGTCTGCATTAAATATACGCAGCAAAAGATAATGAAACAAATAATTGACGACAACAAACCCATTTCAGATTTCGATGAAAACGAGGCAATTGGATTTGCAGACCTGGAAGAACTCGTACGTCGTCTGACAAGTTCCAGTAAGAATTCGGGACTCATAAATCCCGCATTTCGGTCGGAATCAGATTTAGCCCGATCTTCTTCTCAAGGAAAACGAATAGAAAAGGCAGTGCACGAAGATGCTTTGCCGAAAGAAACTTTGCAGAAAATTGTGGAGCAGGTGAGAATAACAACGTACTCTGATTTTCGAGTCCAGATTTTAAGAAAACAGAGTCTCGATCATCACACAATTTTGAAGCCATCGCTTATTGAATCGAATCTATGGAAATTTCAATTAAATTCATCGCTCACAATTTAAAGTGCATCTGAAATAGTTCAAAAACACATGAGCTTAAATTATATCTAGTAAATTCTTGAGATCTCTCACGTAAAAAACGAGAATTAAATAAATAAATAAAAACGCGAGACAATTCATCCTATGCCTCTGTTGATGACGACAACAGTTTGCATGTGACGTCTCGAAAATTGTTTTTGAAAAAAAAAATATCCCGACTCAGCATTTTATTTTGGTGCTTATTATTGATGTTTTTCTCCAATAACAGGTTCTTTCACAGTCTGTCCTGGGAAAGGCCAAAGAAATCAGTTACCAGGAATTCGTTCACTTGACTTCCAAGCTTCCGGACTTTGCTTCCGCCTTCACCATCCATTTTTGAAAAGAAAATCATTTCCATCGTCACACAACTTTTCTCTTTTTTATTTATTCGAAAAATAAACATCTTGGCGCATCGTTTTCGCGGATATTCCAAAAGCGCACAATCGAAACATTCAAATTCCTCCTCGGCATGTGTACAATATTTTTCAACTCGTGATTGCTGCTGGCAACATAAACCGCGCTGTGGAATCAATGTTTCTTTCATGCAGTACGTCGTTTCCGGGATGAATTGCTCAAAATTGTGTACAGTACACGTATATAGTGTCAAAGCAATAAGAATAAGAGGAAGGAATAAAGTGTCTCTCTTCAGCAGAATATACAGTACAGTAATTTGCAAGCTGACGCCCTCGGCTCGAGCAGCATCAGGCCGAAGACACCTTTCGAGTTAGGTTTCCTCCTCGGCCATCATCCTCAATATATTAACACGCGTACCGTGTATATTTACCGAGCCGAGGTATGTCAGTTTTACCAGGGTTCCCATTTTTAACGCAAGAGATGGCGGTCGTCTGCTGCTGGGCTGCTGTGTCAAAGAGCATCAGCAGCAGCAGCAGCTGCTCAGGGCGTCACACCCTGCTGCTGCTGTTGTCGTCACTTTTTGCCAGAGCCTCGTGATCGTCAGAGATGAGTGTCTGATGATGGACAGCAGGACTCTATGATCCGCCTGGGGGCCCCGAGTACTCGCTTGGCCAGGGAACACGCCTTGGCCTCGGGCAAGAGACAGATGCTGGCGTCACTACCCGACACCAAGTGGGGGCAGCAGGTGGTCAGTGGGGCCCTGAGGGCCTCGCAGGCAGACCGGGACAGGTCGTCAGCACCGAAGCCGGAGCAGGATTCAGACTGGGGCTGCTTGGAGTGCTTGAGGAACTTGCGACAGCAATGCAGGTGCAACTGGAGAGCAGAGCAGTTGTTGCTGGGAGAGGATCACAAGGTCCTTTCCATCAGCATCAGGGTCTGCTGCTGCTGCTGCTCATCTTCTGGGTTGTGGTGTTTCTCACTGCTGCTGCTGCTCAGGGTGTCATCAGCAGCACCCCAATGGTTGTGCCTCAGATACAGCTTCCTTTTGGGAATGAACCTGTTGGTTTGTTGGTTTGTTGTTGGACAATATAAAGGAAAGTTTTAACACAAACACCAACAACAACAACTAACAAAAAGCACTTCAGCTACAAAAAGCTTGAAATAAACCTTTTGCTTGTAGTACAATATATGGGATTTACTTAAAAATTCCTCTGCAATGTTTTCTTTTCTTATATTGGTTCTGCTCCTGGCACTTTCTTCATGGGAACAAAGCAGTACATTTTTTTGTCATAACAAAATCATTTCCCTTGAGCCTATCACGGTTATTTCTCAGAGAGACTTGCAGAACAATTTAGCAAGACTCTCTTTGAATCTCTCTATTTTACCACGTTTTTATGAACTCACTTTCTTGTCTGTCTGTTTGTCTGGATCAAATTTTGAAACTCAAATTTCACTCACTTCCAGACTAGCTAGCAAGCTGAAACTTTCAGGATAGCTTAGAAACTGATGACAATGCAATATTTTGTGAAAAAATTAATTTTAAGAATATTTTTCAAAAAGAATAAAATAATTTTAGTAGATTTCTATAATAAAACTTTGAGCAGGTTTTCCTTGGCCCCAAGAAAAAAACCCATGGTGAACTGAATTGGT